TTTACATGAAGGGCTTAACACTTTTTTTAACTGTTCTTTAGTTACACTGGCATATATTGTATTGGTGCTTGTAGCTTCTCAAAGTGCCAAGTAATTACTTGTTAGTTGGAGTGCTGATCCCAAATATGTACATGGTCTGGTATGATCCCTGGTCACAAGAGGCAGCTTTCTATCCTAAGGGGTATCCCATGGGTCCCCAAAGTGATCAGACAATGTATAGAGACTGAGCGCACCACTAGTAAAAGATTAGTCTAGTACATATTAATTGATGAGAAGTCAATGGATAATAGCCAATGCGTTTCAAGGGATCTGTATCCCTTTTCCTCAGAGCTGTTAATGCCTCTCTTGTACAGGCATTCAAACAGCTTGAGGCTGTTATTAATTGACTTCTTATCTAAATTCAATAAATCAGTACTAGGGTATTTTGTTACTTGTGATAACTTCACGCTTAACATGTTGGTTAGCTATTCAAAGAGAAGCGATTTATGCCTACATGGAAAATGTCTCAAGAAATAAAAGTAACTTGCATAATATCTATATACTACATCTTTCTAAACTCCAAAGGTCCTGATATTGGACTATTGAACTGACTAGCAATAGTGCTAGCAGGTCCCACCCAGTGCATGAAGACTCAGTGCATAGCACTAGCTACACCAGGGCTCAAAATTAAGTCCTGAGCTACTAGCCAGGCCTTAAGAGTTACTAGCCACCAGTTGCCCCACCTAACCCTTACCCTGCCCCGGCCTTAACTCCGCCCCTAAACACACCCTCTTAAATAATCTTATAATAGTTTCCGCTTGTAAACGGCAGATTAGGGGTTCCTGCTGCAGGAAAACGCAAGTTCCTGACACGGGAATCCCTAATCACACCTGAAATATACTGTAGGTGTGAATGGGGCCTAATATACACCTACACTAAAGATGCCCATACACCTGCCGATTATAGTACGATAGTTGTGGGTGATCCCGCGATCGTACGATAATCGGCAGGTGTATGGGCAGCGTGTGACCACTTCTACTGTAAGGTCGCAAGTCTTTCATCTTCCAAGCACACTGGTAAACCCGCCGAAAATCGTCCGATTTTTGGTGGCGTGGTCGGAAGACGAATGCTGAACGGGCCGGTGTGCGCAAGCGCACACTGCCCGCTCTGCACTGCAATCATCAGAAGCCCGCCCCTCAGCAGGGAGGACTTGCGATGATCGCAAGTACGATGTGCCTGTCCAAGATGGGCAGATTGTACTAAATTTTTAATGACCTTACAACCATCGCACAACGAAAGTCGTGCGATGGTTGTAAGGCTTAAAACACAATAATAAACTTCTCAACGTTACA